AAATCCTCAATATAGCATTCTTCTTCTCTTCTTCTCTCTTCTCTGTCATGCGGTAGCTATAGTCAACTCCAGGTGGCACACCGTTTGAGGCTCGAACCCACGACCGATTGGTTAGTAGTCCAACACTCTAAGCGCTACGCCCGGGCTCGTTGCCTATTGCAGGATTTTCGATTTTGTTGCCATCTGCATTAGAGTTGTTCTCCTGCTTATTGATTATCGGTAAAGGCAGCATCTTAATGAAATTGTGCAGTTCGTCAAATGGCTGTATAACCTATCAGCCGAGGGAAGCCGAACTAGATCGATAACTGCAAGATGTCCTACTAGTGACTGTATCGCATTCTTTGTCACTTGAATTAAGAAGGATGAAACAGTCAACTCACGTTGCATCCATACGTCTCCCAGGACCTGCTACCAGATTGAAGGAACGCGCAGGAAGAGAGGAAGGATCGCAGCTCTAGGGTCACATTTATCTGATCTTGAAAGGGATAAGGTCGGGGCGGTGGTTTCTCCGCTGTATAACTGTTCACTTCCACGTCGGACAGTTGACGGTAGCCAACGTAAAAGTGGCTCAGCTGTTTGGCCGTCAACATCTGGTGCTTGAAAAGTCTGTCTGCGAGTTGTTTGCCTCGTGAGAATTGTGTGTTGCTGAGGAAGAAGGTGAAGGCTCGTTCCCAGTCGTCTCCGGCTGGATCCTTCGAATCTGCGAAAAAATGTTGCAGAAACAGAATATGAGGATGTGTACAGTTTATTTAAGAAAAACGTCCTCCAAGGGTGTCTACCACGACTTTCTCTCCCTAAAAAGGGCCACAGATGACCGAAGCTGACAAAGACAACAGAGATCCGAAAGACCATTTCTGGCTTACTATCCGGCATCAGCCAGCCATACTCAACCCAGGTGGTGCCCCACCCGAGGCTGGAACCCGCAACCTTGTTTGTTAGAAGTTGAAAGCTCGGGTCAACCAGTTCCTCCTGCGTCTCCGCTCTCATATCTGAATCCTAAATTTGCGCAACTTGCCCAGCAGTTAGCTCCTCTTCATCGGCGAACTCCTGGAGCCAGCCGAGTTCGGCCGGCCCAACAAGCTTCCTCTCGTCCCACCTCAACCGCTGATTGCTGGTATCACACAACTTTCGATGAGAAAATGCTAAATCTTTCCCTTCTCCTCCTTCTCCAATCAAAGCAAAGGAATATAACCGATCCACACGAAAAGGTCAATCCGACCAATCCCACTGGCCTCTCTAACTCTGGCCGCACTTTCTACTCCTGGGACATCCTGACTTGCAGACGTTTCCTGGTTGATACTGGTGCTCATTTGGATGTCCGTCCACCCACAGCAGCCAGCCGTTGGTGCCCAAACCCGGGCCTCTTTCTTCAAGCCATCAACGCCTCACCAATTGTAATCTTCGGCCGCTGCTCCCATTTATTGGACATCGACCTCCGCGTCTTTTCTCTAGAGTCTTTGTCGTTGCTGGTGTGCCCAGTGCAATTATCAGTGCAAACTTTCTCAGCGCTTTCGACCTTATGTCCGACTGCCATTACTCTCATCTACACGATGAAAACCCAAAGCTAACTATCCGAGGTATCCACTCCTACAAAATTTCCCGGGAACTTGCCGTCCTGGATCCTGACCCCGATGGCGAATTTCGACAGCTCTTTATCAGATATCCTGGTCTCACTCGTCCCATCTTCGGTGCTTCCA